AGTCGATTTAACTCCTCTATTTAACTAGTTAATAGACGAGTCTAGAAGACTTAAAAATAGGTCTATTCCTAGTGAAACGGCTTTAATTAGCTATAAAGGCCCTAAAAGTACTAAAAATAGTACTAAAAAGGCTAAAATATGCTCTTTTTGCCACGGAAAGTAGTATTCTATATAAGACTACTAGAAAAAGCACCCCGAAAAAGCACTAAAAAGGGACGATAAGGATACTTAAAACACTTAACTATCGCTTAACTCGACTATAGACGAAGAAATCGTCTTAACATCGATATCGCCTATATCTAATAAACTAAATACTTAGATTTTAGATAGCGGTACTACTGTATTAGGGCTCGAGGCGCTTAGTCATGAGAGAAGAGAGAAGGGGCCTTAGCATAGAAGAATAAGCAAGGGAGGAAGAAAGTAGACGATCGAAGAGACAAGCAACGGAGGACGAGCAACCTAATATACGCGAGCTTGCGTTGAGTATTAGATAGTAGTCATGAGAGCATAGTTTACAGAATTAAGAGCGTTTTCCCTTCTACGAGTTCGGCTGTATAACTATACAGCCCAAGTTTTAGTAGCAGTAACCTTTACGAATAAAGCTATTATAGCTTTATACACGTCTATTACGAGAAGTCTCGAAAGTATAGTCCTTTAGCGGGCTTAAGACTAGAGAGATCGACAGCGTTACTATCCCTTCGCTAACGTAGGTGAGTAAAGAGTATCGTTTTAGTTGTAGCTACTATAGTGTTCGTTTCGGCGTCGATTAGTTCTTATCCTACGGTCCTAGAAGAGAGAGAACCCCTAGTAACGTAGTCCTGCCCCCTTATCCGACCTATAGGATAGGCGAGAATATATGCCGATTTAATCTTAATATACTATAAGTTATATTTACGCGTTTAAAAGTCTATTTATAGACTTAAAACCCTACGAAAAGATAATATATTAGGGAAATATAAGCTCTATACCTATAAAATGGATGGGAGTAGTTAAAATTACCTTTAAAGGATTTAAAAGGACTATTAAACTAAACGACGTCCTTTATATTCTAGAAATCGGTTTAAATCTCCTAAGCCTAGGTTAACTAGCCTAAAAAGGAATAAATATCGATATAAAGGCTAAGTAATGCTATTTAAGCCTAAAATCGACGAATATTACTACTAGTTCCTACGAGAATAACCTTATACTCTTCGATACTACTATTAAAGAGGAATATACCCTTATAT